AACATAGCACCAAAGCTAAATTCAAAATATTCAATTAAATGTGGCATTTGACTGGACAAGCTTTTTTTCTAATCCCATTCTTGATAATTTGTATAAGAACAATAGTGCTGTACTGAGTTAGTAGATACCTTGGAAACCGAATCAGACAACACAATAATCACCATAGCAGCATTCTACAGCATTGAAGCCACAGCTAGGCAGAGACCTAAATACAGCGTGGGACTTATGTTTCTTTCTCCTCCCCTATTCTCCATCTCATTTATTAATGTTTTGCAATTAATGAAACAAGGCCAAAAATCTCTAGAATTTCATTTACTAGAACTGAGAACAAGTTACCAGCGATCATTCTGTCATTTCACTTGAGGTACAATTTCTTTAATTTCTTGGCATCGAGTTAAGAAAAGCCAACTCCACAAACAATAATATTCAGAGATAAGAAAAGAAATTCAATCAGTTCTAAACCACACCCAAGATTTGATAAACACGAGTGACTGGAATGTAGTAGAGTTTCACCTTGTACTGCTTCTTAATTTGTGCTTCTTTTGTTCCGCACGCCTCGGACAGAGCCTTAATAATCGAAGCATCCCCAATCCCAAGCTCCAATCCTTCATGAGCTAGAGCAATCCGGTTCGCCAAAAGGTAAACAACAGCCACCAAATCCTCTGGCGTCGTTTCCATCACAGTCCTAAACATGTTACAAACAATTGCAGTTATCGCAATCTGCCCTGATTCTTTAGAAATAGCATCCAACGCCTTTGCTACAAACATAAACGGCACCCTTTGTCCCTTTCCCCAATATGCCGCCTTCTTGGGATCAAAACTTGCCACCTTATCCTTCAACTCAAGAAAGCTCTCATCAAGAGTAATTGCCACCTTAGGTTTCTTAACCACCGCTTCCTCACTTTTCCCCAGCTGGGCATCCTTAACCTTGCTCGAATCGTCATTTTTCATATCTTTTTCCAGCTGGGCTTCTTTAATTTGAGCTGAATCAGGTTCTTTGACTGAAATCGGAGCAGAATTTTGAGAAGTGATGATGGGGGTGGGGGTTTTGCGTTTCTTGGGAGATGGTTTTTGTTGTTTCTGCTCGGACTTTTTCTTGCTAGCATTGGACATGAGGAGGTCGAAGGCAGAAGGGCGAGAAGCCATTGCTGCTAGTGATCCTGGATTAACTAATGGAATTGAGAGAAAGAAGGATCTCTGAGAGAAGGGTTTTGCAGGGAAGGAAGAATAGATGAGAAAGTAGGGCTTAAAGCCGAGTGGTTTTCTGAGGGGATGAAGCGAAAGAGTGTGGTGCGTAAAGTGGAGTGAAGAAGAGCATGACCTGAATGCGGTGAGCAACAGCTGCCGTTTTTCTGCTACGGAGAGGGAGACAACTGACACGGGTTGCTGTTGCGGATGCGGATGGCTAGGAGGGAAGAGGAAGGCAAATGGCAGGAAAGGAAATTGAGGGTTTTGTGCACTTAGGATTGAAAATTGCCAGAAAAGCCTTTGGAAAAAAATTGCTGGGGAAGCCTTTTTTGGTGTTTGGGCGATGAGTTGTTAGCAAAATCTTGAGAGAGGGACTAAAATTTTCATTTCGTAAGCTAGCAATAGGTGACTTGAAATTTGTGATTTGAAGGTTTGAGGTGTACCCCCCAAAAAAATAATAACAAAGTCGTAAGCTAGCAATAGGCAGACTAGTGAGTTAGTGGTTTATTAGTGGTTTATTATACGTTTTCTTTCACTATGTTCACACTCTGAAGTCTGAATTATTCCAACCCAATTGATGAAAAATGTTTTAAAAATGTTTAGGACAAGTGCAATATCCACATAGTTTATTTTTGTGATATGTCGCATCGTGGAGTGGAAACGGCATGCATATATGCTTGGGCTCGTGAGTTATCAAGTAATTTAGATTAATCTTATTTTGTACCATAATTTGGATCAAAGGTTAATTAGGCCAACCCGTGGATCAAAAGCGTTACAATTTTGACTTATTTTATTGATTCAAGTTTGTTCAAAAACTTTTTTTGGTAAAAAATTTATGCGACATGGAAACATAATTTGGTGAATTCACAAAACCATGTATATTGCACATGCCAAAATCAGCTCGAAAGTGGATTGTCCAACCCAATTGTAATGATACAAGTTTTAAAAGATTAGCAAAGATGCATACGAAGGTAAAAAAAGGTGATTAGCAAATGTGTTTACGAAAAAAAAAATTTAAAAGAAAACAGTTTTCCAAAATTTTAACTCTCGCACCCATTCCTACACTTTTCTACTCCCAACTGTCAAGTTCAGAATTCGAACTTTGAACTCGACGACGTTGGTCATTGGACCAATCCCAATGCTTAATTTTACCAAACTTGCAAAACAAGAAATAAGATATAAAGACCGACCAAAACGTCTATAAGTATACTGATCATCACAAATAATATAAAATCTGTTTTGACTTGCCAAACTTAGGTTATTTGCATGAGTTTCTTCATTGTTTTTTAATTTTAAAAATAATTGATATCCCTCTTCTGAAAGTCTCTCCACAGTCTCCACACACGGGGTTGATGGAACAGTTTTTGAATGAGAGCCATTCATGTCATGTTGTTGATTGGAGTTCCAGAAAAAAAAAACTCCAAATTCCATCTGCAACTGGCTGTGGTGGTACGCTGGTACAGAACAAAAAATCTATAATAAGATAAACAATGGAATGTAGTTGTAATGATGAACCCCTACCTAAACCTAAATAAACGGAATAATTAATACACCACCAAATCAATAATTGTATCATATTCTACATGTTCTTTCCTTCTCGAACTAGCTTGCAACTGGTTTTGATACGTCAGGTTTCTTTACAGGGACTAGACTACAACTACTTGTATGGAGGAAGAAACTCCAAGTTCCTGAGTCCACGAATTTCGGATCCCACCAGTGATTTTTGTGTTGTTGGTCATGATTAGTTTCTTCTTATCTTCTCCCCAGTGCAGGACGGTTGGTCAACTGAACATGCAAGTTGATAATTGCTCAATTCTTCAATGATAATAATGTTGATGAAAAACTCACAAATTATGCAGAACGATCTGGAGCAGAAGGGCCTGCATTGATTGCTTATCATGAGAATCCACTTCACTTGGGCAGAGAGCTAGGGGGTGAGCATGAGAAATGGCAGCTACCCGTTTGGATTGCATTTTTCGTCATTTTTCATGAAAAAATTACTGTAGCGATTTGATGTACGTAAGGAAAAAAGATAATAGAAAAATGTGTTCACGAAAAACGACGCAATTTTCTGGTAAAAAATGGCAATCCAAACACACTGGCTTCAACTACTTGGTCCACTAATATTGCTGCTGCATATGGAGGTTGAGAAACAGGGATGGTGTTGGTTTGTGGGTCCCCCTTAGACTGACTTTAGGGTCCGTTCTTTCGTTGACTCATGAGTGTTTCTAATCTAACTGTGTGTGTTCTTCTTCTGTCTATAGAAAAAAGAAAGTGTAGTAAACTTTTTTCATTCTTATTACTCCCTCCGTCCCACTTTGATTGTCCTGTTTTTTTTCACACAATTTAAGGAAAAATAGTTAATTTTGTTGAAAAAGTAAATTTAGATTGCCATTTTTCTAAAATATCCTTACATCAAATATGGTACAACTTTATGGGAACTTAGAATTGATGGTAAAAAAAGAATAAACTCTTATTAAATGGAGTAGATTTATAGTAACAACTACTTACATTGAATAAGGGTATATTAGAAAAATTAAAATACAACTACATTCTTCAATTGAAAAGTGGACTACAATTTGGGATAGATGAAAAAGGAATACAGGACTATCAAAGTGGGACGGAGGGAGTATGATACTTTTATTATAGTTCATAAGCCCAAAAAAAAAAGAAAGAAAGTGTAGTAACATTTGATTCGTAGTCATTATATATATTATTAAAATGCATGCATATACATTTATAATATTTTTTTAATTTAATTTCACCCTTTCAAAAAAAGTACTACTGTATGAAATCAATTTTGGCAGTGTCCACTAGATAGCATTAGACAATTAAGACATAATAGGGATTGCAATAATGTTTTTTAAAAAAAAATTTCCAATCAGTAACCGACACACTACTCATTTTCCAAAATCAGCTCTTGTAATTCCACTTTCACCTGCAGTTCACGGGCTTCCCATAGAAAATCCATCCTAATTTAAACTGTGCAGTTTTTGCGGGGAGACCATCCATCTACATCTGGTAGGTCAAGACTTGTATAGGATTTAGGCTACTGATTGATGAGTCAACAAAAAAAAACAAAAAAACAAAAAGAAAGAATCTTTACCCCTGAAGTTTAAACAAACAAAACATTAAATTATTGTAGACATGACCTCGTGGAAATCTGCTCTTATTAAAATGTTTTGAAATTAACCAAGCAGACAAAAGAAGATTTGGCATTCCAAGAAATACAAAATTAGTGTCAGTTAATAAGGGTTAATTTGGTTTCTTTCTCATGTTTGGTAACTCTCTTCATGCTGCTTCGATTTGGTAGCATAAATTACAAAGGAGAGTGACTAAACAATTGACCAAAAGAGAACAGGACAGAATGGAACATTTGCAATGTTGTCATGGAGTTCGATCTGACAAGATGTGGAGTAGATCACTCTATATTTTATCGGCATTCTAATGCTAGTAAAATTTTATTAGTTGTTTATGTGAAAAATATTGTGATTACAAGTGATGATGTTGTGAGGATCCAGAAACTTAAATCCAATCTGCAGGCAAACTTTCAGACAAAAGATTTAGGTCATCTACAGTATTTTTTGTGTATTGAGGTAGCTCGGTCTAAATATGGGATTTATTTATGTCAAAGGAAATATGTACTCAATATGTTGAGTGAAGTTGGGATGTTAGGTTGCCGACCTGTGGATACTCCTATGGATCCCAATGTGAAATTAGTAGGAGATCAAGGTGCATTACTTGATGATCCTAAGCAATATCGAAAACTTGTGGGTAAATTAAATTATCTCACTGTAACGAGATCTGACATTTCATTTGCAGTGTGTGTTGTGACTCAATTTCTTGATGCCCCTCGTACTAGTCATTGGGATGCTGTTATACGAATTTTCAAGTATCTTAAGAGTGCTTCTGAGAAAGGGTTGCTGTATCAAAATCATGGACATACTAATATTGAAGGATATAGTGATGCAGATTGGACTGGTTCTGCCTCAGATCGAAAATCGACCAAAGGATATTGTGTGTTTTTGGTGGTAATTTAGTGTCGTGCAAGAGTAAGAAGCAAACAATTGTCTCCAGATCAAGTGCAAAATCTGAATGACTCACTGTATGTGAGTTGGTTTGGTTGAAGAGCATGTTACTTGAAATTGAGTTTGAGCATAAACAACTTATAAATTTAGTGTGTGATAATCAGGCAGCTGTCCATATTGCGTCTAATCCAGTGTTTCATGGAAGGACAAAACATATTTAAATTAATTGTTACTTCATTCGAGAGAAATTGCTTGACGGAGTCATCTAGACATCTCATGTACCGTATGTAGATCAATTGGCTGATTTGTTTACCAAGAATTTAGGGGGCTCTAGGGTGAAATACACTTATGATATATATGCTCCAACTTGAGGGGGAGTGCTAGGAGAATATCAATATTTTTATAGATAATATTAGTAAGGGTATTCTTGTAAATAGTTGGTTAGGTTTGTACTCCTATAAATACTAGTTGGTCACTCATAATACAGTGATTAGATGTTTTCCTCCCAAGATACCTGTTGACAGACTTAAAAAAATCCAAGAGTCTTTTGCCCAATGCTAAAAGCAGGTAAAGATATAAACATCATTGAACAAAAATTAGCATACCTGCCTTCGACTGTCAAGCTGTGCTTGTAGAAGAGGTTGGCCATTGATATACAAGATATCAAAAGCATATATGCAAACACCAACCTTTATTTCACTCAAGACCACATTTTTACGAGCCCGTGTGCTGAGGACTTGCCACCAATTCATACTTTTAAGTCTGAATATGTAATACCATTCTTACAACTCTAGCATTTCATCAAGTAACAATTCATGTGTGACACTCTTTCCAGCAAAATGAAAAGCTGAACACCAGAAGAAGCTGGCTCCTAAATGACAAGAAATATACTTAGAAGGATAAAGTGTAGAGACAACATATGTTTAGGAAACCTAAGTGTGTCCCCTTTATCCTCCTGGTGGGTGGTAGGGACATGGTCAGTGGAAAAGAATAGCCTGATATATATAAATCAGTAAAATTTGTGGACATGTTACAAGATTAAGGCAAGGCCCCTGATGGAGACTAATGATGGTCTGTTTGCCAAAGCATGATTTGAATTACCTAAAAGAAACTAAAAAAAGTGCTTATACAAAAGCATCAAATCAAATACAATATATTCCAAATTCAATTTTCAAGTTGTTTGGCCTAACATCCATGTAGCATCATCACCCCTCAAAGTGTAAATTCCTCATTTGATCAACAAAAAGTAGCCCAATTAGTAATGAATCTACCCTTAGTCATATTCATCAAAATTTCACCACCTTCAAATATTTTAGAGCAGACACTGGACAGATCAAATTGGCCGAAACTTTAATACCTCAACACTCAAAAATCTCCAGTTCCTATCAAAGAAAATCAAGAATTATATGACATCAACTGACTCAAATGAAGCACCTGAAATAGATGCAAGAAAGAAGTTGCACGTGTAGTTTCAAGATATCCCATAGGGGGACTGAAGGTGTCGGGAAGCATTTCATGTGCCAGGCCCCAGGCATGCCCCATTTAAGTTCATGATGAGATAGCCCATAATAGATAGCCCTAGGATTTTGAGCATGCTCAATACCAAGATGATTCTTACAGCACCCAAAGTTGATGAGTTCACAAACGAAAAACAAAGATGACTCGACCACTTTCTTCCCAATACAGGATTGAAGGAGATTTGTTACTTTGCCAATTTAATACTTCAGCATTGATTGTACATAAATTATTAACATTGTATATGTTGTTGTCATATGCCACAATAAAGATCATGAAGGCTACACAATAAGCAATGCTAGAGCCAGAATGGGAGACTTAAATCAGTTAGCAATCGATTTTTCTATTTAACTTCAATTGTTCTGATGTGCTAGCATAGTTAAAAGGACCACTTCAGCAGGCCCATGACAAAATCAGATTTACAAAGATCTTGCACTTAGGCAAGCTCAATATTACAGAAGTAAATAGTTCACCTGGAAGGGGAGAATTTTTTTCTTCTCACGATCAAATGCAACAATTTCACAATCAAGAACAAATGAGGTTACAGACGGCCTTTTAAACCTGCAATAAAACAGCTAAATGTCAGGAAAATTGAGAGAGATTTTCTGGCAGACTTGTAATGTTAGTAGGAAACAACTAGTCATTCTTAAAAATAAGCTCTACTGATATACTCTCATACCCAACTATGTAAATTATATTTCTGCTCATTAAGAAAGCAATAGACTACAAAAACCCATCATGAGAAGGCCCACCACAGCAGTGAAAGTACAGTGCTAAGCTCAGACAGCCTTACTCAACCAAGTAAAGAGACTCTTCCTGTTCATCAAACCATTAACCAGCTTGTGACAGCATGTTCCAAATCAAAGTTGGAATGGGCTACAATAAAAGTACCTTGAAATTGCATCCACAACATCAGGATACTTTCCAGTGTTTCTTTCTGCATTTCGACTATATATCTCCACTGAACCATCCTCCATGTAGTGAATCTGCAGGACATGATTAGACAAACACACATCACCAAGACTGTGAAAGGAAAGGCATATAACATAGGCGTCATGTCTAGTTTCTTGCTACCTGAGCACGTTCTCCATCATACTTGTATTCACAGGTGAATTCAATATCCTGAAACTTATCCAATATTTCAGAAACTCCCTTAGTTGGTTTTGCTAGCATAGGTCCAACAGGAACACCAGGTGAAAAGCTACATGTCTTGGGAAGATCCCATACACCATCAGCACGAAGAGCAGGGATTATTTTATCATAGACTGGAATTACCGAGTAAACTTGTTTCACGATTTTAGCAGCCTGAGGGAAGGAAAGCAATTTCACAACATGTTTATGCAATAAACAAAAAACTCTCTTAAATTTGCACATAGTATAAGCACAATAATAAAATCTAATTAAAAAATTGATTCAAACTCTCTCAGAAGTTTAAATTCATGCCAAGATACCTCTTCTAAAGAAGAATCTATATTTGCAGGAGTTGAAGATTGCTTATCAGCATAAACTGCAGCATGGCCCAAAGCAGCTAACAGAGTTTGCTCAGCTAAACCAATGCGCAGTTTAGCCTGCATGTAGAGTTCAAGAATAATTTTCAGGGATTAAAGGTGCCAATTTGTGATGTTAGATCTTCAATTGTCTCACCTGGAGCAGACGAATCAAGTACTGAGGTTCACAATCAGTAGCAGCAACCAGTAGTGCCTTGATATGATTCTTTTTCTTCTCTTGACTATCCTTACCAGATTCCGAATGCAAATCACATAGAGATACAGTTACAAAACTAAAAGAATTAAACCGTTATGCTCTTCTCTAGATCAATAAATTATAAGTTAATAAACAAGCACCAATTCATGTGCATATCTCGGCTGATTACCCATCATCCCAAAAAAAAAAGCCTCTCTCTCTCCCCCCTGATGTTCAACTTTTCTCACCCGTCTCTCTCTCTTCCGTTTCCTCTGTAATCTTTATCTTACTCTCTCTCTCTCTCTCTCTCTACCTATGCTTCTCTTGCCCCCCTCGCAACTTTCACTTTTACCTCCTAACCCATCCTCTCCTCTACCGGTCAGCCCTCCCTTCAACATGCAATGACCATGGAAGCCAAGCTAGAGATAGATAATTGAGGTTTTTTTTTGTTGGTCTCATGGTAGATCAGCCTTTCCTACATATTAACAGTGTTGTGGGGGTGTTGTTGGGAATTCATGATGGATTAAAGTTTTGATTAACAGTTTGTGGTGATTTTGGCGGTTTTGCAGATATATGAAATTTTGAAAAAATAGTGTGTTGTCATTTGAAATTGGTGGGGATTAGTGGGATGATTCAAAGAGTTGAAAACATTTCTAGTTTGGCAAGAATGGATGTGATGTTAGCAGCTGCTTTTGTTGTTTGTTGTTGGCTGAGTTTTTTTTTTTCAATTTCGTTGTTGGCTGAGTTCGGTGGCGGTCTAGTTGCAGTCATACAGAGTCCATTTGGGAAGAAAGATAACAAAGTTGGCAAAAGGGGGCAAAGAATTAGCTAGACATTCTAAAAAAAAAAATTCAGTGGATTCCTATTTCACCACAACAAACCAAACATACGAAAAGAAGTTGCTAAAACCCATTACGATTGAGGACCTTTGATACTCATTGCTATTGCCATTCCAGAATACCAACCAAACAGGTAGTTAGTGTACTCTAGCTCCAAAACATTTCAAAAAATAGATTTCAAGTTTCATGTATGGAAACCAATAAAGGCAGCTATGAATATCTTAAGGAATAAGGCAATCCAGTTTAACTCTCATCTACAGCGAATAATATCAAAGCTCATCATCGAAGTCCATGAAATGGGAAAATTCCAAGGTACCTTAGCAATAAGGCGAAATGTATCAAAAACTTTAACAACAGTTAGTGCTTCTGGTTTGCGCATTAAAGACTGAGACGAACGGCTTGCTTTTGCAACAAGGCCTAGATCACCAAGCTCCTGAGGCAAGTCGGATAGTGAAGTAATCATTCAAAATCAAAAAGAAGAAAGAAATTGCGGGCAAAAACTTGCAGGATTTTGATATGTCAGGAGATTCCTGCACACAAATTATTAAGCAAATATAACTAGACTACACCATTCGCAAGCTTTGAATGAAATTCTGCTCCTCTAACTACAAAATTTCTTAAAACAAGTGCAGTGTACTCATTGCAGAAAGATCAGCCAGAGCCTTCCATTAAATCAAGCAACTAGAGTCACAGAAGTCAAGTAAATCATAAAGAGAATAAATGATAACTTTTTTTTTGCAAATTGTATCTTAGATCAATTAAAAAAAAAAATTTTCCAGACAAGCTACAGCGTACAAAATGTAACAACAACCAACGTACAGCTGCAGCCAAAGAAAGTAACAAGGTAAAACTAAAGCAGCTTCTCAAATAATGCAGTTACTTCGTAGAACCAAAATCGAGCCCAAAACTAAAATCACAGGCAAAGGGTCGAATGTTTTTGACATCAACATAGCACCAAAGCTAAATTCAAAATATTCAATTAAATGTGGCATTTGACTGGACAAGCTTTTTTTCTAATCCCATTCTTGATAATTTGTATAAGAACAATAGTGCTTGTACTGAGTTAGTAGATACCTTGCAAACCGAATCAGACAACACAATAATCACCATAGCAGCATTCTACAGCATTGAAGCCACAGCTAGGCAGAGACCTAAATACAGCGTGGGACTTATGTTTCTTTCTCCTCCCCTATTCTCCATCTCATTTATTAATGTTTTGCAATTAATGAAACAAGGCCAAAAATCTCTAGAATTTCATTTACTAGAACTGAGAACAAGTTACCCGCGATCATTCTGTCATTTCACTTGAAGTACAATTTCTTTAATTTCTTGGCATCGAGTTAAGAAAAGCCAACTCCACAAACAATAATATTCAGAGATAAGAAAAGAAATTCAATCAGTTCTAAACCACACCCAAGATTTGATAAACACAAGTGACTGGAATGTAGTAGAGTTTCACCTTGTACTGCTTCTTAATTTGTGCTTCTTTTGTTCCGCACGCCTCGGACAGAGCCTTAATAATCGAAGCATCCCCAATCCCAAGCTCCAATCCTTCATGAGCTGGAGCAATCCGGTTCGCCAAAAGGTAAACAACAGCCACCAAATCCTCTGGCGTCGTTTCCATCACAGTCCTCAACATGTTACAAACAATTGCAGTTATCGCAATCCGCCCTGATTCTTTAGAAATAGCATCCAACGCCTTTGCTACAAACATAAACGGCACCCTTTGTCCCTTTCCCCAATATGCCGCCTTCTTGGGATCAAAACTTGCCGCCTTATCCTTCAACTCAAGAAGGCTCTCATCAGGAGTAATTGCCACCTTAGGTTTCTTAACCACCGCTTCCTCACTTTTCCCCAGCTGGGCATCCTTAATCTTGCTCGAATCGTCATTTTTCATATCGTTTTCCAGTTGGGCTTCTTTAATTTGAGCTGAATCAGGTTCTTTGACTGAAATCGGAGCAAAATTTTGAGAAGTGATGATGGGGGTGGGGGTTTTGCGTTTCTTGGGAGATGGTTTTTGTTGTTTCTGCTCGGACTTTTTCTTGCTGGCATTGGACATGAGGAGGTCGAAGGCAGAAGGGCGAGAAGCCATTGCTGCTAGTGATCCTGGATTAACTAATGGAATCGAGAGAAAGAGGGATCTCTGAGAGAAGGGTTTTGCGGGGAAGGAAGAATAGATGAGAAAGTAGGGCTTAAAGCCGAGTGGTTTTCTGAGGGGATGAAGCGAAAGAGTGTGGTGGGTAAAGTGGAGTGAAGAAGAGCATGACCTGAATGCGGTGAGCATCAGCTGCCGTTTTTCTGCTACGGAGAGGGAGACAACTGACACGGGTTGCTGTTGCGGATGCGGATGGATAGGAGGGAAGAGGAAGGCAAATGGCGGGAAAGGAAATTGAGGGTTTTGTGCACTTAGGATTGAAAATTGCCAGAAAAACCTTTGGAAAAAAATTGCTGGGGAAGCCATTTTTGGTGTTTGGGTGATGAGTTGTTAACAAAATCTTGAGAAAGGGACTAAAATTTTCATTTCGTAAGCTAGCAATAGGTGACTTGAAATTTGTGATTTGAAGGTTTGAGATGAAAAATGTTTTAAAAATTGTTAGGACAAGTGCAATATCCATATAGTTTATTTTTGTGATATGTCGCATCGTGGAGTGGAAACGGCATGCATATATGCTTGGGCTCGTGAGTTATTAAGTAATTTAGATTAATCATATTTTGTACCATAATTTGGCTCAAAAGTTAATTAGGCCAACCCGTGGATCAAAAGCGTTACAATTTTGACTTATTTTATTGATTCAAGTTTGTTCAAAAACTTTTTTTGGTAAAAAATTTATGTGACATGGAAACATAATTTGGTCAATTCACAAAACCATGTATATTGCACATGTCAAAATCAGCTCGAAAGTGGATTGTCCAACCCAATTGTAATGATACAAGTTTTAAAAGATTAGCAAAGATGCATACGAAGGTAAAAAAAGGTGATTAGCAAACGTGTTTAAGAAAAAAATAAAAAAATTTTAAAAGAAAACAGTTTTCCAAAATTTTAACTCTCGCACCCATTCCTACACTTTTCTACTCCCAACTGTCAAGTTCAGAATTCGAACTTTGAACTCGACGACGTTGGTCATTGGACCAATCCCAATGCTTAATTTTACCAAACTTGCAAAACAAGAAATAAGAAATAAAAACCGACCAAAACGTCTATAAGTATACTGATCATCACAAATAATATAAAATCTGTTTTGACTTGCCAAACTTAGGTTATTTGCATGAGTTTCTTCATTGTTTTTTAATTTTAATAATAATTGATATCCCTCTTCTGAAGGTCTCTCCACAGTCTCCATACACGGGGTTGATGGAACAGTTTTTGAATGAGAGCCATTCAAGTCATGTTGTTGATTGGAGTTCCAGAAAAAAAAAAACTCCAAATTCCGTCTGCAACTGGCTGTGGTGGTACGCTGGTACAGAACAAAAAATCTATAATAAGATAAACAATGGAATGTAGTTGTAATGATGAACCCCTACCTAAACCTAAATAAACGGAATAATTAATACACCACCAAATGAATAATTGTATCAGATTCTACACGTTCTTTCCTTCTCGAACTAGCTTGCAACTGGTTTTGATACGTCAGGTTTCTTTACAGGGACTAGACTGCAACTACTTGTATAGAGGAAGAAACTCGAAGTTCCTGAGTCCACGAATTTCGGATCCCACCTGCGATTTTTGTGTTGTTGGTCATGATTAGTTTCTTCATATCTTCTCTCCAGTGCAGGACGGTTGGTCAACTGAACATGCAAGTTGATAATTGCTCAATTCTTCAATGATAATGTTGATGAAAAACTCACAAATTATGCAGAACGATCTGGAGCAGAAGGGCCTGCATTGATTGCTTATCATGAGAATCCACTTCACTAGGGGGTGAGCATGAGAAATGGCAGCTACCCGTTTGGATTGCATTTTCCGTCATTTTTCATGGAAAAATTATTGTAGCGATTTGATGTACATAAGGAAAAAAGATAATAGAAAAATGTGTTCACGAAAAACGACGTAATTTTCTGATAAAAAATGGCAATCCAAACACACTGGCTTCAACTACTTGGTCCACTAATATTGCTGCTGCATATGGAGGTTGAGAAACAGGGATTTCAAGAAGGTGTAGTAAACTTTTTTCATTCTTATTACTCCCTCGTCCCACAAAAACCTCCAAGTTCAAATTCCATACATGGATTCCCCAAATCCCAATTCCCAACCTATGAGAGTCCTTATTCGGCCCCCCGCTCCAAACCCACCACCACCCTCCCCTCCTCCTCCTACACCACCTGATCCTTCACCCACCCAAAGTCCAACTCCCATCCCATCTCAGCAAAACGGCATCGTTGTAGTGGGTTTCGTGGGCAGGCGCCACGGCGATGTAACCCAACTGATTAACCGAGTTATTGACGCAAATGTGTTTGGTTCTGGGAATCTTGACACCCCCTTTCGTTTCAATAAGCAAGAATTGATTAGTGAGGAGATTGAGGAGTGGTTTAAGCTGAGATGCATCAGCTATTATTTTGAGGAGGAAAAAGGGATTTTGTATTTGCAGTTTTCTTCGATTTCTTGTCCTATCATGGACGCGGATTTGGAGTCTCAATTGGGATTTGACTCTTTATTCGAGGACCGTGAATTCGGTGATCTTCAAGGATTGCTTTTTATGTTCTCTGTGAGCATTCTCGTTCCCTATTGTTTATGAAGCATTTAACTTTATTTACATTCTGAATCTTATTTGTGCTGTTACCTTCGATTCTAAGGCTCTTTGCATATTGTGAAGTTGTTTGTATAAAGATTCAAATATTCTTGTCTAAAATACTCAATATGTTTAGGTCGTAGATTAAAAAAGGGACTGAAGTTTATCTGTTTAACGCTTACACCTCATAGGCAGATTAGCAAACATAGACATTCAGTTAAATATTCGAAGTTGATGCCTTTTTTGTTTAATTCAGCATTGCAAATGTAAGGCGTGGCATGAGTTTGGATTTGATAGTTAAAATGGCCTTTTTTTTTTTATCTAAGGAGAATAACTATTATAGTTTCCCATGGATGAGAAGGTGGCATTTGAGATCCATTGGCCGCCTTTCAAGTTTTTGTCTGATAGCCAGGTCTGTACACATCAATCATTGCACTTGTCCGGCCAAAATATAAGTAGGAATTCTGGATACTTTTTGAGTTGCATCTATAAATAGGTGATTTTTTATCTCTGCCACTCTGTACGGTTGGGAAATTTTGCATATTCATGCAAGAAAGCTGTCTTCAGACTGTATTATGAACTATCTATCACATGCAAGGTAAGAATCTAGAAGTATAGTGATACATCAATAAGATGCTCATAGGAACAGATTCATTTGGTAATTTAATATCAACTCGCCTGATAATAGTTTTGTTTCTTGAAGGAGGCTGCACTCTGTAGAAGGTTTTACATTAAGTTGTTAATTGCTTCATAGATGTATATCTAGATACGAAGTCATATTCGGTTCCTTTCTATAGATGGTATTCTACTTAGATAAACATGAAAGCTTAAAAGGAGGTCTGCATGAGTATGTTGGGCATCTGTGTTATGACAGCAAGATGAAGAGTTTGGAATTTAACAATTTTGATGAGGACTACATTAAGATTGAAACAGAAGTTTGCAGGAAGTTGTAGGCTTAGATTACCTACTAATTTCAGAAGATTCTTTTGAATCGTTCTGAAAAGTGAATTTATAGTTTTCTGAAGTAGAGACACTATAACTTCAACACCATGGTTCTAGTTTTGCAAAGTTATTTTCTCAGAGTAATTTTTGCAATTCCCAATAGTTTCAGAGTTTAATTACAAATTTGAACAGAATTTTTTTTGTTATATTCCTATTTCCATTTTTTTTGAATTTCCATTCTTGAATTTACTAGTTCCCCTTGAATAAAATGGTCTCCTGTTCTAATTACAACTAGTAAATGACTCTAGTTTATTTAGCAATGCAGGTTTGCCATGTACTAATATTAACCCAAGAAGGATCACACTTTGACACACAGATTTTGAAAAAGTTTCGAGTGTTGCAAGCTGCAAAACATGCTATGTCTCCCTATTTCAAATCACAGAGTATGCAACCATTGACACCAAATTCTCATGCTTCATCTTCTTCTAGAATGTTCCTGTCAGGAGCATCATCAAATAGTCCATCTCCTGGTAGAAGCCGCAGCATCTTAAATCGTGGTGCTGCAGTGACATTGATGTCTGGCTTAGGTTCACACTCCTCTTTATTGCCGGGACAGTGTTATCCTGTTATTCTTTTCATTTTTCTTGACGATTTTAGTGATGCTAATCCTAGTTCTGCTTTGGGAGAGCAAGTGGAGGGTTCCCCGTTAAGTCAGTCATCAAGTTCAAACAATATGGCTAGGCCAAACTTACCAACAAAGGGATCTGGGTCAGTTGTTGTACTGGCTCGTCCTGTCAATAAACCTGAAGGCGGTTTCAGGAAGAAATTACAGTCATCCCTTGAAGCACAAATTCGTTTCTCTATCAAAAAATGCCGAATACTTTCAAGCTCTGAAACTGGTCATGCTGGTACAAGAAGTGGAGGCATTTCAAGTGCAGCACCTTTATTTTTGCTAGATGCATCAAAAGCTGTTATACTTGTAGATTTGTGCTCAAACCATAGAGGTGAATCTCTTGAGTTTGCCACTCGCCTTGTTGAAGATGTTATTGATGGGAAGGCAACTTCAGATTCTCTTTTGCTCGAAAGCAATAGCCAGAGTGCAAACAAGGAGGACATACTTTCAGTTAAAGAATTCATTTTAAGGCAGTCTGATTTCCTGCGAGGAAGAGGGGGTATGGTAACTAGCACCAGCAGTGGCCCAGCTACTGGTGTTGGCATGGTCGCAGTTGCTGCCGCTGCCGCAGCGGCCTCAGCTGCTTCTGGGAAGACAGTTAGTACTCCTGAACTTCCCAGCTTAGAGACCTGGCTATCTTTGAGTCAACCAATTCTCCATGGAATCCTTTCTGTGAAACCAGGGTATACTGGCAAAAGTGAATTTAGCAAAAGAAAACCGGACCAACAATATGCTGCTATGCCTGCCGTTGAAGGGAATGCAGCAAAAGCTACTGATTCCTTAGAAAATGCCATATCTATTTTGGAGAGTGGTAGAGGGCTGTGCGCCAAATTTTCTACTTTGTGGTGTGAAAAATCCCTTCCAATCGCTAAAGAGATTTATCTGAATGAGTTGCCACCCTGTTATCCAACTTCACGGCATGAAGCCCACTTGGAGAGGGCTCTGGTGGCTTTTAAGTCAATGGTAAAAGGGCCTGCCGTGCAAATTTACATGAAAAAACTCAAGGATGAATGCACATCCATCTGGAGTTCTGGTAGACAATTGTGTGATGCTGTTAGTTTGACAGGAAAACCATGCATGCATAAAAGACACAGCGTTGGAACTGATGATTTGCTTGTAACCGACGAGATCAAGCCACATTCCAGTGGATTTGTATTCCTTCATGCATGTGCATGTGGTCGTTCAAGACAACTACGACCCGATCCTTTTGATTTTGAAACAGCCAACATTTCTTTCAATTGTTTTCCAGAATGTGACAAGCTTCTTCCTGCACTACATATCCCTCAAGGTAGTGTTGAAGGGCCTATTAAACCTTCTTGTTGGAGATTGATACGTGTTGGTGGTGCAAGGTACTATAACCCTGCAAAAGGTCTACTCCAAAGTGGCTTTGGTACAACTCAGAAATTCCTTTTAAAATGGTCAATTGTTCTTGGAAAACAGAAGATGAGCAATGGTTTGTCTTTGAGTAATCAGCTACAAGTTTATTCAAATAAATTAAGTGGCAGCGACAAAGATGAACCTCTTGCAGGTAAAGACACAAAGAAGGTTGGTGATGCTCATTTTCAGGCACAAGAAGTGCAGAGTGAAGTTGAAGTACCAAAAAGGCAGCCTTTATTAAACAATAAAGCTAGTGACAAAATGATGGGAGTTTCCAACTTGACAATGAGAAAACCTTTTTCTGAGGTGGTTGCTGGATCAGCTGGAACACATTCAGGGTTTCCTCCTCTTCAGACCAGAAAACAACCTCTGCCAGGTTCTGGGAAGGGAATTAAGCAGCATGATACAAGAGAGAAGGGTTTGTCAAAGGCCATGGAAATTGCCAATAATCAAGGGTCTCAAAAACTTCCAAATATTGCTACTATTGATCATGCAACCAATGGGGTTGCAATTAATACTAATGCTGATGCAAATAGTGATCCACCATTACAGATAGGTAGCAATGATGTTCCATTGAACATGGCTACTGGAGGTAAGGTGAGAGAATTTATTCCTCTGAAGCATGTATCGATTTATGTTGGGTTCGAGCATGAGTGTCCCCATGGGCACCGGTTTATATTGACGCCAGATCATCTCAAAGGCCTTGGTTCCCCTTATGCAATGCCTGAAGAATCTCTTGTTACATCATCCATTGAGAACTCAGATCATAATATGGCAGATTCTTCTAAATCTGGTAAGAATGGTGGTCATGCTAGGGCACGCAAACAGTCAAACGGAACTATTAACAATGCTTTTCGCATGACAAGTAATCTGGAAGAGTCAAAAGTGAGAAGCACCAATAAAATTGTATATGAAAATGGACAGATGCAAGTTTCCAATATATTAAGAGAACAAAATCTCAGTGAAGCTAAAGGTACTTCTTCAGTGATGGACCTTGCAGCTGGTTTTCAGTCTGTTAATCTTGATGATGGTGGAACTGCTTTCTCCCTCGTGAATAGAAGTCTACCCATTTACATGAACTGCCCTCACTGCAGGGAGTCAAGGAAGAAAAAAGATACAATGAATGTTAAATTTGCTAGCACTATTTCACAGCTGCAAAGGATCTTTTTGGTATGAAAAAACGTCTTTTATCATCTTAACAATTAAGTGCGACTGTGAGTGTCTGAATATATTTATCTTCTCTTAGTAAACAGTTATATGCCTCATGTAAAATTGAATTTCTATTCTTTGATGCATCAATGCAAGTTTAAAGGTTTTCACAGGATGATTACTTGCCTAATTGTACTTCCAGCGGCCAGTAAAGATTACTAATAATACTTGTCTTGGTAATGAAACTAGATCTCTGGAAAAGTTTGTTAGGCTATAACATGTATGAAGTCAGAGATAATAAAGGAATAGCATCTCTAAGATAGAACTTAGAAATGGGGTTGGTCATGCATATTGATAGTCATCAGTGCGAAATTAGTCCAAGCTTGTAAATGATATTATTCTTCTCTTTGCATTTATCTGACTCACTTTGTCATATCTTTATCTTGTCTTCTTTTGGTAACTTAGATTCAGATTTATACCACCATGGTAAAGTGAATTTTTAGAAGCACGTTTAAATAAAAGTTACTGCATTGCCATGCATGTCCATGAGAGCCTTCTTTTATACTTTCTACATCACATGTGAATGGACACCCAAGGAGATTAATTACATTTTTTTATTCCCTAAGATCTACATTGCCAGTGTGGTTTTTATGAATTCAGATACTGTTGATTATTTTATTGTGACTGCGCATCTTAATTATTGTGTTGCTCAATGTGTAGGTCACGCCTGCCTTTCCAGTAATTTTAGCAGCCTGCCCAGTTGTGCAATTTGAGGTATGCACCAGTTGCTGGAAATGTGCTTTCATCATTATTAGGATTTTTCATTACAAACTTGCTTTATTTGTTTCCTGGGACATTTGAATATGAGTTGTCTATTTAAGGTTCAAAACGACTCGTTTAAATTTTTAAACTATTTAAAGTGTTTACTGCTATCCAAGGTTGCACCAAGCTGGCATCAGGCACTGTATTCTTTAAATGACCATAGTCATCAACTCAACATAGATTCAGGTGTTGCTGTTGCAAATGTAAAATTGTTTGGTGTGCAAGAAATTCACAACTACTGTTTGATAATTGACTCAACTGTGACTGCTTATTGCCCAGCTTGTGGACTATAAAAAATAGGACTTGCTTCCATTGCATGCTTGGATCATTATGACATATTATCTTAAATACGTGATGGTATGTTATCATATATTAGCTTTGAATCATTCAAGTGATTAGAATTGAATAATATAGATATGGTTGCAGCTTAATTTGGTGTATTCATCAATATGTTATTTGGAACGGTTTTCAATTGATCAAAGATAATTTGGCTAATTCACAGGATTCATGCCTCCCTTCAACAGTCCCAGATTGCAAAGAAAAGCTGCAATTTGGCCTTGGCTGTCGGGTAATTTTGCCTCCAGACAGTTTTCTCTCACTCAGGCTTCCCTTTGTTTATGGTGTAAAGTTGGATGATGGAAAAGTGCATCCTCTTATGCCTTTCGAGGATCAACCGCAACTGACTGCCTGGATTACCAAAGGCACCACATTGCAGGTTGTATCTCAAGGAAGCAATCTTGCTGGAGTAGCTAACATGTAGTGAAATTTGGTGAACCTGAGGAGTGATGATAAAAATAGTATGGTTCACTTTGCGCTTTCCGAGGCAGATTGCTCAGCTAGCCTGCTGTCTGGTAAATATTTTTTATAACAAATACGCTCTTTGCTGAAGTCCACAATTAACTTTTGTTAAGATGATAGAAAGAAAGAAAAGGGTGAAGTTCAAAATTTATCCTATGCGTTTGACAAAAACAAACTTATTAATTTTTTGTATCTACAATGTTTTGGCAAGTGGAATTATTTCTTCTTGACCAAATGAGACTATTAAAGGTGACAGAATCTCATGAGTCATGCACTATAGTGCTTCCTTCTGCATCTTAAATGTGGCGTTATGTGGATGGATCTAACCTGGTGCCTATTTAATGCATTTAATGGTAGTTGATGTATCTGATTTTCACAAAGCATCTTGTTTCTTACTCTAGAACATGTAATCTTGGGAAAGATACCATGAAAAAGGAAATCCATGGGTTTTAAAATTAGTAAATGTGAGATGTAAGTGTGAAATATTAGTAAGGTGATTAGCATCTATTATATGGCCCTAAGTTACTTTGCACTTTACCATCTAGACTTCATAATAGTTGATGTGGTGAAATTTGAAATTTCTTTCTTCAGCACTTTAGTTTAACTCCTGCATAATTCCTTCTTTTAAAAGCTAATGATTCTACTATAATTGAGCTTTGTACTTGAATTTGTTCAAGTGTTTGTGTATAGCGCTTTTAAATAACTCAAGAGTTCTTACTAGTTGCTTTTATGTCTGATTGAAACATGAATCAAGTTAAGCATTTTGATGCATAAAAATTTTTTTTTCTGCACTTAAAAGAGTTGGATATACATAGTTAGAGGTCAATAAAGTCCAGCAATTGCCAGGAATTCCAAGTTTGTAACTTTAATTTAGCGGTTTTTCAGATAATTGGATTGACCTGTGCGCCTCAATCATGTTGAGATCACATTGTCATGCTGCTATTCATGGACCCATGGTAGATGACACTTGTGCGGGTGGCAGAAACCTTTGGTACAATTCCTTTATCCTTTTTTATTTTTTGAACCTGATCATAAACTATGAGAAGCCAACAATGTTGGGTTAATTCTTAGTACATTAGAGCTATCCTGTTGTGTGGCTTGGGCACTCAATTTCTTCGAAAGTAAACTAGTTATGCATATGTCTGTGTAAGTAATCAGTCAGGCGGGAAGGTTTCAACTCATGCCATCTTTTTTCTTTTTTTTTGGGGAATGCGTGCTATATATTTGCCTTCTCAAATCTCAATTCCTTTTCAACTTCTAGTTCTAGCGTGTTTGCATAAGAGTTCTTTAGTATTTAGTGAGGGGGAACACGAAGTAAAAACAAGTCGAATGGAGTCAAAAAGAACAGCAGTATTGGATGGATGGAACAATTACTTTTAGTTGCTTACACTAAGGTTCAGGTTAATCTTCCTGCATCTGCAGAATACAATTTGTTAGCAGTATGCTGCTAGAAAATATTCTCAGTAATGTTCCTTCAACTATTTGCTAATTGCCATTTATGCCAACGTTTTTGGTTCTTGTTCTTGTTTTTATGTACATGGAGAGGGTGTGCGTTGCCTGAGCTGATGCATCAGTTAAATCAGGGGTTTGCAAGCTGTGACAAGGCACAATTTTCTGCCAGAATGAATTCAGCCGGTTGCGCAAAAGCCTCAAGTTCCAATGGAAGGTAGAATTCACGGGCGCTTTAGAAAAGTTGAAAGAGTTGTACAAATGTGATTATTTAACTCATCTGGAGGCCTACTTTTACAGGATTAGGGAGGGGGCAACTGCCTTATCCCATCTGAAGAAGTTCCCTCTCCGAGAGGTCCATTCCTAGGAGGATCTGCTTAATCATATTGATGGCAACCTGGGCGTGCCACATTTGAATAAAGGATGTGCAAAATGCAGTTTTCATTAGTTCTTCTGCGGATGGCTTCACACTGACTTGTCAATTACCTGTCACATTTGTATTTCATTTTCTTTTGCAAAATGAATGCATGGGAAGTTATTGCGTCCAATATTTTCTCATTCTACAGTTTAACCAATCCTTAAATTCTGAGCTGTGACCAACAATTGTTGCATCCTTTTCGCTGACGTCTGTGCATGCATCATCAAATCATTGCTGAGAACCGAAAGAAAAGCATTACATATTTGAAGACATTATCCAAATTCTTCAATTTAACAAGTCTTGCTTCCATAAGCAGCTACAAGATGAGTCGAGTCGTAGCGTCTCCTTGTTTGGATTGTAATTTTTTGTCAAAATTTTTTTTCATTTTTTATGAATATATTTTTCGATCACTTTTTAATTTCATAAATATCAAATCATTATAATATATTTCTCTACAAAAATTTTTCAAAATAACAATTCAAACGGGTTCTTATTATAGCAGACTAAGAACGCATGAAACATGTTCGAATGATTAATTTTGCCGGTGTCCTTTTTTTTTTTTTTTTTTTGGTACTTTAACCGTGAGGTCGGTCAACAACAGACAAAAAAAAAACGCATTTTTAGATGCAAAAAATCCTGGACAGAATCTTTATATCTGTCCACACAATCGTAGAAAGCCAGGCTGGGTTTGGCGTATCAGAGGCCATTGATGAATGGATGGACGAAAACTTGTGGGATCAAATAGCAACAATCACATGCCAAACGCTCCCACGTCCTTCCTGCTATGCCTTTTTTTTTTTTTTGCGGTAGGAATCCTGCTATGCCTTTGTTGGGTCAACAAACAAACTTCTCTCAACTTTATCCAAACAGCTAAAATCCTGAAAACTACACACCAACGAAGAAATATATACACATTTCAATATTGGATACAAATACAAAAACATATATTTATTATTATCAAGAGGGACTAGAGAAGCTCTGTTTTCAAACTCGGACCGGACCGGCCGGTCGAACCGGTCGAACCGGGAACCGGCCAGGTAGCCGGTCCGAGTCAACTTAGAAAACCGGAAATTTTAAAACTCGGTCAAAGCCGGTCAAAATCCGGGTTTGACCGGGAAAAAATCGGTTTTTCCGGTTCAACAGTGATTTTTAAAAAAAAAAATTCAAACTTTATAATATTATGTTTTGGCCCCCTAAATTGTTAAAACTTATTCGTATACCTCAAAAATATTTGATACTTTATAAATATTGTCCTACAATTTGATGTTATTTTTCAATTAAATTCATAATTTTAATTCTAAACTTGTTAATATTTATTAAATAATATAAATTGCTACTTGATTATTCTAATTTCTTTGTATTTTCTTGTTAAATATATTTGAAACATCAAATATATATGAATATACCTTTATTAATATCAATATATTATTAGATATGATATATATAATATTTTAATTTTTAAATAATTTTTATTTATGACGTCATCCGGTTCGACCCCTATCGACCCCCGGTCGAACCCATTGACCCCTGACCTCTGACCTTGGCCGAGTCGCTATCCGGTCCGGTTCTGAAAACATAGTAGAGAAGGCCTGCATAATTTAGCTTTGTCCTTACTGCCCATCCACAACTTTTTGTTCTGTATCAGGAGTTGTTGATCTGTATACATTTCCCTCTCCTTTTCATTCTTGAAAAGAATAATGATAACAAAAAGAAGGTTTATAGGTAGATGGAACTTTCTTCCACCGCCATATGAGCTTTTTCTAGGCTAATTTAACAATGGATAGTCTCTTGAAAGTGGCATATGCTACTAATCCACCACCACACGAAACGTTATAGGCGAATTAAATAAGAAATTGACTCGGAAGATGGTACAGCAATGTGAATTACTATCTTTCTTACTGTTTATTATTTTTTTAAAAAAAATGTAGGCGTAGGTTGCTGGTCAAATTGAACTCAAACTCAAAATATTAAACTCATTATTAGTTCGCAAGTCGACTCGCGAGTTTGTGTATATATATTTATTTTTTATTTTTTATTTTAATAGCAAAATTACATATATATTCTTAATATTTTATTATTTATTAAGAAAAAATATTATTTTATTTATTTTTTAAAAATAAAATTTTTTATTTTTTTATTTTTTCGAGCTCGATCTCAAATTTGAATCAAACTCAAGTTCCAACTCGAGTTCGAACTTAATAAAATTAAATCAAAACTCGACTCGACTCGATTAGTCAAAAGTTGACTTGATTCGATTCATTTGTAGCTCTAACTGTGCTATGATACCATTGATGATGCCCAATTTTCTTGATTCCATGTCGGTACGACCCTTCTTAATACTTGATATTATTTATGTACTGAACTGATTTTCATTAGATACTCGTTAAAAAAATAATAAAAAATCACTTGTTGCTTTATGATTAGTAGGAAAGCACGTGAAAATGTTTGGATGTATTCCCTGTAAACAGGGCAAAAGGTTGGGGAGTGATAGAAGTTCCCACTCAATTGAAAATTTTCCATTACTTAATAACAATGGATTGCTTTCGACTTTTAGGTGAAAATGCACTTTTCCTTTTATAGGATGTCGGGACGATCAATATCTAGCGGAAAGGGCCAAAAAAAAAAAAAGGCAGCTCTATGTGTGCCTTTGATGAACGGGTGTCCGTCTGTCAAAAAGGGGCGTTCCTGTATCCAATTGTGTACAAAAAAAAAAAAAAAAAAAAAAAGAAAAGAAATTATTGAGAAGGGTTTATGTTTCTCCTAATGCTTGTACCTATAGCCATTAATTCTTGTCGTTTACTACCCCTTGCCTAGTATGTATCATATACCTAGTAGCTTTTTTTTTTATACGTAGGTTCATTTCAAAATATTTTGGCACCACATACTCTGCAAGGCATAATTATAGCAAGTCAGCATCAATCATCAAAAGGCAAAGGAATATTCTTGGAGCTGTGGAGTATTTGATTTTCTTCTCTTCTCTTTTTTTTTTTTTTAGTTGAGCTGCTTCTCCTGAGAATCTTCAACCTCTATGTTACGATCTTCTTCAACCTCTTTTTTAACCCTTAGAATAGTTTTTTAACCTCTTTTTTTTGTTTTTGTTTTTATGAGCTAAAGTTTTAAGGAACAGATTTCTTAACTTGTTTTAGCAACTCATTCTTATCTATTACTAATTAACATCCCATAGGGCAATTAATACATTCTCTATTACCATTACCATTACATAAAACATGAACTTTCAAAGTATTTATTCCACAAACTTCATTAACAACTTGACGTTTCTTCCTTTCCTTCTAAAGATTATTTCTGAAAATGAGGTCGAATGCTATCTTAAGCACACTAATGGCTGGTTCATATGCCTCCTTAATCCCGTCCGACTTGTTCTACCATCAGTGCACTGCAATAGCTTTATTATCTTTGGCGCTACTTGTTCGTGAGCTTTAAATCCTCTCTCAAACGACAGTTGAGACTATTTTTTGAAGCCGTGCCTAAAACTAGGAAAATCGGCTTCTCATCTTTACATTTCATGGCCAAAATGATAGAAACGCGTCATTACAGTGTGAAAGCATCTAATACCCCTTTTTTTTTGGAGGATTTTTTTAAATATTTTTTTTGGGTCTACTCAAATCCTACCCTCTAGTGATAATGGAGGAAAGGGTATACGAAAATGATTAGGGATTATTTCGTCCTTAGCAACGTGACACATACTCTTAGGAATAGGAGTGTAAATGAGTTGAGTTGAATCGAGTTTCGATTTAATTGAATTGAGTTTCAAAATAATTTTCAAAATTCGAGTTTAAGCTTAAACTCGACTCGAATTTGAACCGAGCTAAAGCTTAAAAAATAAATTTTTTTATTTTTAAAAATAAAATAAAATAATATTTTTCTTAATAAATAATAAAATATGAACAATATATATATAATTTTACTATTAAAATAATATATATATATATATATATATATATAAATTTGAGGTCGAGCCAGCTCGCAAGTTAACGAATTTAGTATTTTTCAACTCAATATCGGGTTCAAACTGCACGCAATCGGCTCGATTCGTTTGCGTCTATAGTTTTAAAAGTTGAATCCTCTTTGTCTTCTTAGTTCTTAAAAAAAAATTTTAAGTTTTCTGTGAATATATTTATCAACCGCTTTTTTGCTTCATATATATCAAATAACTATAGTATATTTTTTTACAAAAACTCAAAAAATAACAATCCAAACAAGTTGATGTGAATCGATTGTGACTGCTAAAAGGCTCATTCAAATTCTTCTAATATGCTAGTTGAAAGTATATTATGCTGTGAAATGTTTTTGGGTTGAATTTTTAGAGAAAAATTTCTGTAACACATTTTTTAGAATATGATATATATATATATATATATATATATATATGTATATATGTGAGGTAAAAATATGAATGAAAAATGTATAAAAGAAATATTCATAAAAAATAGAAAAAATTCTCCAAAAAGTGTCAATCCAAACCAAGCTTAGTAAAAAGATTTTTTCTAATTACTTAATTTACAAGAACAATTTTTTCTATCTTAGTAAACCAAACATTATTATTGTCCAAAAAAGAAAGAAAAAGAAATGTAATAGCTCAAAGCAAGTTCAATATTTTATATAAGAATATTTCAAGAAATTTTATATAAGAAGTAACATTAGCAAAGATAAGTAAGCCAAGTCGTGCAAGTTTATCCACAAGGCCGCTCCTAAGTCTTGTCGTTGTTTATTATTATGAAGATTCTCTAAACTAAGAATAAGTCTCTTGCAAGTTTACTTAAGGCAATTATACAATATTAAAAAATTTCAACCGAAAAAATTTTCTCATTCAAGCTCGACCAAACCAATCTGAAAGTAGCATATTAAAAAATGATGACATCAAAGAATTTATATTGTGCAATAATTGACAGAAGATATTTCATGGCCAAACAACAACGAACAACACTGGTATTAAGTTACTGGGAAATTCACCTCGATTACATCGTAAACCCTTCCTATTTCTGGGGATAATTTCACGAACCTCCCCTGAAGTTTGCCTTAATATCATGGAACACCTTCATATTTTTAAAAATTATCTCACCACCCTATAATTGACATATTTTGTAACATTATCATCCATTATGGATTAAAAAATTCATATAAGAGGAGAGATAACATTTTATTAAGTAACTTTACAACTGTTATTGCAACGGGCAGTATTTCAATTTTGAAACTGTGAAGGCAATAGGACAACAAAATAAGAGACATAAGTTATAGTGAGAAGACGATAATCAAGATTTCAGATAATGAAATGAATTCAAATAAACTATATTTTCTACTAATGTGCATTTGATATGCTTTTAATATGTTAGGAAATAATTATGTCAAAAATTTCTTAGGGCTTGTTTAGATAGCCATTTTCCACAGAAAAAATGCCTTATTTTCCGTGAACACATTTCCCTATCACCTTTTTACCTCACATACATCAAATCGCTACAGTATTTTTCCAACGAAAAATCCATGAAAAATGCAATCCAAACACAACCTTACCTTTTATTATTACAGAGAAAAAAAAGAAGATTCTATTATAAATGGCGAGTTTTACTAACAATTAACTTGATTTTTCTTTTTCTTTTTTTGCTTTCCAAGTTCATTTTTCTTTTGTGCCAATTTTAATTAATCAGTTAGGGGTTCCAGCGGCTAATTGATCAGTATATAGGTTAAAAAAAAACTGTCGGACAACTACGGATCTGACAGGCAGGGAGTATAAATCTATGGGTGCCGGGCTGAGACAGCCCGGCACCTGACACTTTTTTTTTTTTTTTTTAAAATCCACATGGGTCTCAGCCCGGCACCTGACACATTTTTAGCAGGTGTGGGCTGTCAGGTGCAACTGACAGAATTTTGTGTCGGGCAGATTCTCCTTTTTTTTTTTTTTTAAAGCTGTGCACCAGACAGCTTTTTAAAGCCATGCGCCCCTCCGTGCAATTTCCTGACCCGCCAGAGCTTTTGTATTTACGTGCTTCTTAGCTGGTGGAATCTCAGCTTAGCATCCCGTGGTGGCTAGCTACGGAAAAACAAACAAAAGCTATCTCAACTTAGCACCCCGTGGTGGCTAGCTACGGACAGACAAACAAAAGCTGCAATCACGTGGGCTTGCTCCAGCGTCGTGAACTCCGAATGTGTATATAAACGAACCAAACTTCACCCTTCACCCTCACCCCGCACCTCATTTCTCATTTCCTTATTTCTGAGCTCTCCCAATTCTATTTGCATCATCCCTCTCACTTCTCACTCAGCTTCTCGGCCAAAGTTCCTCCAGAGCCGAAAGACATTTGTTGTGTTTGCGATTTGCCTTCCCTATTGGTGTCTCAGATTTGCGTTGTCGAGGATTGTCCCTGTCGGTGTCTCTGGCCATAGCTTTGTTCGCGGGCAGAATTGGTGAGCCTATTGTTAATGTATTTTTGCTAAGGCGTTCGTGTTAATTAATTACGATACCGCCGTGCTAATTAATTACGGTGCTTTTGTTTAGGTCGCCGTATTGACTACTAACAGTGCTGACAAGACAATCAATTTTTTAAATATAAATAGTTCGAAAGAGGTTAGTGATCTGTCTTATATAAAAATTGTTATAACTGTTATATTATGTTACTCAATTGGTGATAAATATTTTATATTGTTGTTATATTGTGTTATTAATATTTTTTATTAAATAAATATTTAATTTATTATAGAATAGTTGTATACAAATAATGTAATTTACTTTTTACGTAAGTTAGCTAATATTAGTTTAATAATAATATGGTACATGCTTAGTTGAATTAGTTTAGTGATAAAATTAGTTTAAGTAGTTTAATTAGTTGTTTAAATTTATTTAATGGATGAATTAAATTAGTTTAACTAAAATACATAAAATTAGCATAACTTAATTAACGATATTAGTGTTATTAGTTTAATACAATTTACTTTATTATGCAAATTAGTTGATAATTAGTTTATGTAATTTAGTATATGATAAGTTTAATTAGTTTAGTGGATTAATTAGTTTAATTAATTGTGGAATTCGTTGAATTTAAGAGGTTCAATTAGGGGTGAATTTAGATGTATTCGGCAAGGTTGGTTTATGTTATTTAGTATATGTTATTAGTTTAATTAGTTTAAATGAATTTTGATTAAATGAATTTAAATGAATTAGTTTATGTTATTTAGTATATGTTATTAGTTTAATTAGTTTAAATGAAATTCGATTAAATGAATTTAAATGAATTAGTTTATGTAATTTAGTATATGATTAGTTTAATTAGTTTAGTGGATTAATTAGTTTAATTAATTGTGGAATTCGTTGAATTTAAGAGGTTCAATTAGGGGTGAATTTGGATGTATTCGGCAAGGTTAGTTTATGTTATCTAGTATATGTTATTAGTTTAATTAGTTTAAATGAATTTTGATTAAATGAATTTAAATGAATTAGTTTATGTTATTTAGTATATGTTATTAGTTGAATTAGTTTAAATGAATTTCGATTAAATGAATTTAAATGAATTAGTTTATGTTATTTAGTATATGATTAGTTTAATTATCCAATAGGATATATTAGTTTAATTAATTGAATGAATTAATTTTAAGAGGTTCAATTAGGGGTGAATTTAGATGTATTCGGCAAGGTTAGTTTATGTTATCTAGTATATGTTATTAGTTTAATTAGTTTAAATGAATTTTGATTAAATGAATTTAAATGAATTAGTTTATGTTATTTAGTATATGTTATTAGTTTAATTAGTTTAAATGAATTTCGATTAAATGAATTTAAATGAATTAGTTTATGTTATTTAGTATATGAATTAGTTTAATTAGCCAATAGGATATATTAGTTTAATTAATTGAATGAATTAATTTTAAGAGGTTCAATTAGGGGTGAATTTAGATGTATTCGGCAAGGCTAATTAATTGAATGGATTAATTGAACGAATTTGTGCAATTGAGTTTTGATTAAGATAGCCGTTTAGTCGGAGCAATTTAAGTAATTGAAATAATACCTATGCTAATAAAATAAATACATAAAATTAATGTAATTAGCATAGCAAAATTTCATAGCTAGTGATATTAGTTTAATGCTATTCACATTATTTGTTTAGTTAGTTGATAATTAGTTTATGTTATTTAGTAAACAATTATTTTAATTAGTTTAGTGGATTAATTAGTTTAATTAGTTGTGAAATTAGTTAAATTAAAGAGGTTCGATCAAATGCATTTAATTAAGGTGATGAATTAGGATTCTGTTGTTATTTATTAAATATTCATTTGTTTATTATAAATGATTTATTTATTTAATTATAATGCATTATTTGTTGTTATTTGTTGTTATTTAATTACACTTTATTTGCTGTTATTATATTTGTCGACAAACCATTTTTAGCAAATTGATCATTGGTTTATAGTCTCACTAATTCTTTTCCTTTTGTATCTAGGATTCTGCATAACTCTAACCCAACAAATCTGCCTCCATTATGGGGTGTGTGGAATAGAAAATTTTATATCGGTCCGAAACAACTAGTAGGCATGCTTAGTAGTTGTTTCTAGACGAATGAAAAAGTTGCACATGAATATATAAGGGTCTCACTTGATTTAATTTAGCATGTTAAGTGGATTTTTTCTAGTATATGTAAAAATCAAAGAAAGATAGAAGTGAACAGGGATGGGTTTTTTTCCTCTTTTCCTCTCCCAAAATTTCCTACCCAGAGTTTATTTCTTTTTCCATTTTCGCCTGCTTTCTTTGTTTAAAAGGAAAATGGAAGTGCCACCATTTTGTTCCTACAGAGTTGCGTCCTTAAGAATCAGTTCCAATGACTTGGTACAGCATGAATATGGTTGCAAAGGGAAAACTCTTTGATACTTAATAGTAGTAAAAGACCAAACCAAAAATAGGAAACAAAAGAAAATAAGAGTTTAGATCTGTGAATATTCAATGCACTTATGATGATGTGGTAAATTGTGGACTGCTTCGCCTACTGGCCCACCCATAGACCTAGCCTACACAAAAAACAAAGCTAAACTGTCAACCATAGCTCATTTATTAGTAAAAAACTCATAGGAGGATATGATAAACATTAAATCTGAAGACTTAATTCCTACCACTAATTATACAAGACATTAGTGGCTTACTATATAATTGGGGATATTCTTGATAAACAGGGTTGGTGACAAAAGCACTGGACATTTTCTCCCAGTTGCATTTCAGACCAGATATAAGGAGGTTCTTGTAAAGGCACATACTGCTGCATCTGGAGCGGTGCTAAGATTGCAAATAGCTCCTGTTCTTGGTAGGAAAAGGAAACCAATTGAGTGGTCTGAGTTTCAGGTACTGTTCCTTCTTACCATTATTCAGGCTTGAAATTTATATTTGTGCTTTACTCTTCTATTATTTCTGCATTGGGCATCTTCCCTTTACAAATATATGATGCCTGATCCTATGTTTTTTGAACATGTAGTGTGCTGTTAGCTAGCAAAATCAGCCTATGAAATTGATTATTCATGTTATAGCTTTATCTTTTGTTTGCCAAACTTTTGCATGTATACTGTGGCTGCAGATTCTATTTAGTTTGTTGCCTTACTAATGCATTTGTACTTGAGATGGTTGATTTTTGCTAAAAATGTGTTTTACACTTTGGATCCCATTGCTGGTATTTGAGGAGTTTAAATTTAGTTCATATTACATTGCATTTGTTTTCTATATAATGTGGCGGTCATATTCTTTATGGTAGGATAAAGGGCTGCAACAATATGGATAGGAGTTGGATGTCTATTAAGAACTACCTAGACCCCAAGTATTTAGATGGAGTTGATGAATTTATTAAGTTTGCTTTTCTAGGCAAGGATCCTAATTGTAAACTGCCATGTCCTTGCAAAGTATGCAATAATTTTGAGGATCAAACTAAGGAAGTCACGGCCAATCACTTGTGTCGAGGAATTGTTGATAGTTATACCAGGTGGATATATTATGGCGAAGGGTTTGAATCTGATGATGAGAATGATGACATAGAAATAAATGACAACGATAGTGACTTTGACGATAGTGACTTTGTGTAGTTTATGGTTATGGTTATGGGGCTGATGGTTGTGTAATAACATTTTTTGGGGCTGATGTTATGCATTATTGTTATCTGAACTTATTCTTTGGGAAATATCTTGGTATCATGTATATAGTGCTGTTAGTTTATCAATATAGAGGTAAAAATCTGATTGTTCATCTGCAATAGTATATTATTTCCAAGTACAAGCGACAGACCATGCATGGATAGCAATCTTCTTTTTGCCTATGTAGTGACTTGAAAGAAATGAATATAATGCAAAGGGGGCGTTTGTGAACTTTGATTGGTTTCACCTGTTTAGATGGTCTTCACTTTCACATTGTGAGGCAAATAGCTCATTCTCTTTGTACAGTTTAATCCTACAGAGGCATCGTTTCCTTCATGATTTATGAAGCATAAACTCCTAAAATCAAAGAGGGCTAGTACCTCCTGTATTCACACCTCGTACAATAAGTTGCTTTCTGTGTTTTAATATATAAACAACCAAAAGCATAAAGATTAAACAATAATTACTGTGGGAGTCCAATTTAATTGTTCAATAAGTTGAGCTATTTAAAGAAGAAGAAAGAAAATAAAAAAAAAACTGTTTTAGAGAGCTCTTTAGTTGAGCTTATGCAGTGTTGTATTTGTATAGATTGGACTGTGATTTCTAACTTCTTGCTGGTGTTGTAATATGTGGGCCCAAATTATATGAGGTTCTTAATGAATTGTAATTTTTGTCTTAATAATCTAAGTCTCATTACTTGTTCTTTATTATTGTACTCCTCCCCTTACCTACTTCTTTTACTCTTTTATGACAGATAAATGCTATTCATACTAGCTTTTGGAAGATATCTATGGTTATGGTTGAAGAATGTTGAAGACAAAATTGCCTTTTGCTCATGGAGTGGTTCATTTAGATGTTCTTCAATTTCTTAAACTGTGATTGCTTTTGTAAATGTACCTTATGTACAAGTGATATTTTGGACAAATGTTATTTTTGTAGGCATTAGTTGGGTAATGTACACTTGAATTTGGCATTTGAGAATGCTATATTATTACCATGTAATCTAATGCAAATACTTTTGGTTATCAATCGTTCATGTTTATTTGTATGGTTTGTTTAAAATCAATGATTTAGTAATGATTACAGGCCAAATTATGACTATTAAGCTATTGAGAAATTATCTAATGACAAAAAAAGTTGTCACAAAATAGAAAATAAAAACTCCTTGTCACAACAGAGACTGTCACTAAATCTAAGCTACATTTGTGACGATAATTGTTGTCAGTAAAATAGTTATATACAATGGTTTTCGGTGCTTTTTAGTGGCGACCTTAAGTAGAGCATTTTTGACAAAAGATCAATTCGTCAATAAAACACTTCCGGATTGTTGTCACTAATGACAACTATTTAGTGACGACATTTCAGGTCGTCACTAAATAGTTGTCATTAGTGACAACAATTTGGAAGTGTTTTATTGACGACTTGATCTTTTGTCAAAAATGCTCTACTTAAAGTCGTCACTAATGAAAACTATTTAATGACGACATTTTAGGTCGTCACTGTTTACTTTTACCGACGGGGATTTAGTGACGACTTTGTGACGATCAAAAAGTCGTCAATAAAATGTATTTGTGACGATATTTGTATGTTCTGTGATGACTTTGTGTTGTCACTGATGAACAATTTTTTTGTAGTGATAGCCTAGAAACACAAGTTCATTAGTACAGAAAGTGCACTTCTTGACATTAGCATAGAGGCTTGCCTTTCGAAGTGTCTCAAGTACCAATCTAAGATGCTCCATATGCTCATGCATGTTTCGACTATATATCAAGATATCATCAAAGTAAACAATGATAAATTTTCCTATAAATTGCCTTAAAACATAGTTCATCAATCTCATGAAAGTGCTAGGGACATTAGTCAACCCAAAAGACTTGACTAACCACTCATAAAGTCCATGTTTTGTTTTGAAAACTGTTTTTCACTCATCTCCCTTTTTCATCCTAATTTGATGATAGCCACTTCTCAAATCAATTTTAGTAAAAATGACAGCATCATCAAGTTCATCAAGCATATCATCTAATCTAGGAATGGGATGACGGTATTTAACAGTTATAGCATTAACTGCTCTATAGTCAGTGCACATACGCCAAGTACCATTCTTTTTTGAAAAAAGTATAATAGGCACAACACAAGGACTCAAACTTTCTTTTACCTAACCCTTACTTAGTAGACCATCAACTTGCCTTTGGAACTCCTTAGTTTCTTCGGGACCCATGCGGTAGGCGAGTTTGTTGGGTAATGGTGCTCCAGGAATGAGGTCGATTTGGTGCTTCATCCCTCGAATGGGTGGTAAGCCATCAGGGACCTCATAAGGGAATATGTCCTTGAATTCCTGCAACAGTGCAACCACACTCGAAGGCAATGCCTTATCGAACTCATCAACATTCAAAAGGACATGTTTGCAGATCATGAGTAACACAGGCTGATCAGAATATACAATCTTTCTAATATCCTTAGCCTTGATTATCATGTTTTGCTTTCCAGTGTTGAATTTAATTAATGCATGATCATGTGGGACACTAGGGATACCGACTTGAGCCTTGACCGAATGCTCACTTGTTGAAGTGGAGCAATTCCCAGATTCGGCCGTCCTTTGTTTTCTCTTTTGACGGTCTAAGTCACACTCCCTTTGCAACTTAAATTGGTTCTCATATACTTGTGCAGGTATGAGAGGTGTTAGGACCATACGTTTATCATTGTGCAATAGAATGTACTTATTGGATCTACCATCAAATGTAACATACTTATTAAATTGCCAAGGTCTTCCTAAAATGGCATAAGTAGCATGCATAGGGACAACATCGCACACAACTTCATCAATATAATTGCCAATTGAAAAAGGAAGGCGTACCTGTTTGTAGACACGCACCTCTCCATCCTCACTTAGCCATTGTAATTGGTGCGGGTGTGGATGTTTAGTCGTAAGAAGTCCCAAACTTTCCACTATTAGCAAGCTTGCCACGTTGGTGCAACTTCCTCCATTAATGATGAGACTGCATACTTTGTCACTTACTTTAGATCGAGTATAAAATAAGTTTTTCCTTTGTAAATGCTCATCCTCCTTGACTCAGGTGGTGAGCACTCGTTGTACCACCAAACAACCAATTTCTCCTTGAGTAGGAAAGCACTCTTCCTCGATCGAGTCATTCTCCAAACAATCATCTTTGGTCAAGCCGGGCATCTCCTCACAATCATCGTCATCGGATACGATTTCTTCGTTGTGAGTTACTAATATGATCCTTTGATTTGGACATTGGAATTGGATATGTACAAATCCTTGGCATTTGAAGCATTTGATATCTCTACTCCTAGGCTTAGGAGTCTCTTGAGTGGTCTTAGAAGTGGACCTTGATGCATCAAGAAATTTGTTAGGGGTAGAATGAAAATTTCGGCTAGGGACATTATCTTGTGTTCGGCCAGTGGTAAATGGTGTAGCCGAATGTCCAGCTTCATGTGATGTCCTCCGCGGTTGACTTCCCTTCCACGCATTCGGATTTAGGGGTTGATAGCTTCGGCCACCCCTCCTCAACTTCTTACCCCTTTCGACCTTAATAGCTAACTCAAGAAGGTCACTCATATCCAAGTAGTGTTGAAGTTCCAAAACTTCTTGAAGGTCAGGGTTTAGACTTCTAAGAAACCTCGCTATTGTGGCCTCACTTTCTTCTTGGATATTAGCCCTCATCACGGCCATCTCGATCTCCTTGTAATAGTCCTCCACACTCATATTGTTTTGAGTGAGGGTTTGTAGCTTTGAATGGAGATCACGGTTATAGTAGCGTGAAACAAACCACTTACACATCATGGGCTTGAGTTCAAGCCAAGTTCGGACTCGCGGTTCATATTCCTCCTCCTACTAGTCTGTACTTGATCCCACCACATGAGTGCATAGTCGGTGAACTCAACAGTGGCAACCTTCACCTTTTGTTCCTCGCTATAGTCATGGTAATCGAAAACCATCTCAATGCGGCCTTCTCATTCCAAGTAAGTCTCAGGGTCACTTTTCTCTTGAAAAGTAGGAACTTGGATTTTAAGTCCCTTAAGCTCATTGTTAGAAGTGTCCCTTTTAGGTCTCTCGACCCTTTCCTCGTCCTCACTAGCCGAGTAATCTGCATAATTTGTCCCTTTGGTGCTATGGTTACTTCGGTTATGAGATCTAGACCGAGAGCCTCTCGTGAGACTCTTGGAGAGTTCATCAAAGTGGTTGTGCAATTCCTCCATTGATTGATGACTAATCCGCTTGAGTTCGGATTTCATAGCATTGAACATCAAGGTGTAGTTGGAGGTTGGATGAGCTTGCTCCATGTCTCTTGTTTTGCCCTACAAAAGGTTAGTGACAAGAAAATAATGCAAATATAACCTCACTTTACTCCCTTAGTATGTCATTCACTCTCGTATTTTCACTCCAAAGCACTCTAAATCTCTTACCAAAAGTTCTTACCTGGCTGGCTCGGATTAGTTGAGAAATGCCGCACAACAATCCAAAAATTGTTCCCCAAACTTTCCACAAGAGTAACCAAGAAGTGAGACACAATTTGGAAGCAAATGGGATGCGGAAGTGTATGGAAGGTGGCGGACAGATTTGGAAAGGGCCGCTAGTGTGAAAAGGGAAATGCATAAAAACCCTAGTTTCCTAATTTGGAACGACTTATGCAAGTGGGATTAGGAGAGTTATCCAAGCTGTCCTTTTAGTTTCCTAATGAATTTGGAAACAAGTTAATTTTTGGAAACCTTTAGAAAACCCTTTTCTTCTTGAAACAACTTTTAGGAACTTCCAAATTCTATTCCTATAAGGACTTCATAAATCAGATTTTGTTTCTTTTCCCAAAACATTTCACTCAAGTCGGTTGGAAGGTTGGCTATTAAAGCCCCTCCTACGCGAGCCTTCACTTGCAAACGCACAAGACCAAGCTCGGATTTTCTGGTCAAGTACCCAAGGCAGTTTCGGTTTTCGCTCAAGACAATGGAATCTCAATAAGGTGGTGCACACAACCCTCCTCAGGCTCCCCCTCAATGGGTTACCCAAGATGTTCCCAAGAAGGAAGCAAGAACTCCAAGACAACCCTTCACCAATGCTCGGGAATACAAGAAGATGTTCACTAGGCGGAAAAGACAAGTTTCCAAGAATCAAGATGTTCAAGAGCTCCAAGAAGTAGTAGATCTGTGACGCCCCGAGAGAATGAATGTGAGAACCCGAAAATTTTTATATATTTTCGAGACATTATTTTGTTTCCTTGTCTATAATTTTATGTGTGAGGACTTGCAAATTCCTTATTTTTTCCCCAAAAATACCCTATTATTTGGAAATTATTCATTTATTATAGCCACACTACCCAATCATTCCACAATAAGTGCAAATGAACCTAGAAAGTAGGGTTTCACTTTTCGTTTTCAAGTTGGAGCAAGTTAGGGTTTTTGCGTTTTCCATAGGATGATTTTTCCGGTACAGAACGAGAATCAAATTTGGTGCTCAAGAGTGACTTTTAGGTGAGAAATAATATGTGATTAGGAGCAATGATAAAAAGTTAGTGAATAGGAAGTAAAAACCCTAGTACGTGTGATTTAAGGAAAAACGTTGCGAACCGACGGGTACCGTGCACTACCGATTGAACGCACTACTTGATCACCACTTTCTTACCACATGAGCTCATTAATATTTGAGCAAAATATCTCCTAATTTTCAGCTGGCTTTGACCAAAATTGGTGGCCAAAAATGCAAGGGAAAGAGAGAGAAAATTGTATGGCTTTGGTGGTGACAAGTCCCTATGGCTCTTTGGTTGATTTTTTTCCTTGCCTTCTTATCATCATGGAGCAGCCCTTCTTCCTCATTTTTTTTGCTGTTTGGCCGAGAGAGAGAGAGAGAAAAATCCAAGAGAGCGCTTCACCATTTCATCTTGAAATTTGATCATCCAAGTGAGGAACTAAAATTCTAAACCGATGAAAGTGTGAGTTGTGGGCTTGAGAAGCTAGGGGAAACAGGAATTCCAAGAGGAGGTGAAGTATTACTCTTGCAAGCTTCATTTGTTGAGGTATAAGGCTAAA